AAAAACATAAGCTTGAAATCAATGTTACCAGATAGCACTTAATTAGTAATTAATTTATGAAGCAATGTTAAATGCTTTTACAACAAAATTCCAGAAAATATTCAAAGTTTGTCAATCAACAAGTTTTAAAAATGTATTAAAGAAAGCTCTTATTATTATATAAAGCAATACATGAATAAAAATAACCCATGTCACCCAAACGAGGTGATCGCTACCACGCTGGTTCCACTATAATTCATATAAAATAAATACAAAATTATTGTCAAGTTACATATTATTATATCTTAAATAATACTCCTGCTGCAATTCTTATGGTTCGTCCCAGAATAGACAAGCAGTGTAATTTTTATATCCAGTGGTAAATATTAAGAAGACTTTCAAAAAGTATTATGTTACTGTTACAGCCTATTAAAGTCCACTGCTGAACACAGATCTCCCCCATAGATTGCCTCATAGAGGATTATTTGCCATAGCTGTCAGGCTTGGCAAGTGGGTTGACACCCGCAGGCATCATTAGAAGAAATAGAATTTGCGATGGCTAACCGCTAATTAATTTATCAGCATCTAAAATACAAAAACAACCTCCCTCCCTCCCTCAATCGCGCGCACTATACCCGTCGCCGTTAATGCCAGCACTACCACTCCCAGCACCAGCACACTAGGCTCGACACACCACTCTCGAAAATACGACACGTGTTTCGCCTCTACACGAGGCATCCTCAGGTGAAGTAGACTCTGTGGAGGCTGGCCGCTAAGTGAGCGGCTTGCCGAAACTACTGCTATTTATACTACTTGCTGACGCGAGCGACCGCGTCATGCGATAAAACATGCGACCAATCACCGCCGGACTTACGCAGCCGTTTGTAAAATTAAAAACAAACCGCCGCGTAATGCCCGCCTACCCTGACAAACGTGAGGGTGACAAACGATCATATTGCGAGGCTGTCTGCTATTAGAGAGCAGTCTTAAATATATTTAAGAGAGGTGAGTTAGAAACATTTGTTTGTTCACTCAGCAGTGCAACTTTACTGTTATTACTTTTTAATAATCTCTAACTGTTGCAGCACACACAGTCGCAGCTGGACTATTATATAGGCCGTACGCACGTATGTAAGTCTTACATACTTGTAATAAAGGGCGTGCGTGCGTGCGTGCATACATGCATTCGTGCGTGCTTGATGCGTGCGTGCGTGCGTGCGAGGGGGCGTGCGTGGCGTGTGTGCGTGGGTGCGTGCGGTTGTGCATGCGTGTGTGCGTGTGTGTGTGTGTGTGTATGTGTGTGTGTGTGTGTGTGTGTGTGTGTGTGTGTACGCACGCGTTTTACCTAGCTGGTACTGATTAAGGCGTACTCCCCTAGGGTCCATATTGTTTTTGCCAGACGTCAGTATACCACACAATCAACATTATATATATATATATATATATATATATATATATATATATACATTCAAAATAACGCCACAATATCTTTGCGTCTTCTATCCAGGTTAGCTGGAGTATATGAGAGTGTCTTAGGTTACCTGTGAAGTTCTACTGTAAAGTTCCTGTGGGACTTCAAATACATTACTTTTAAGAGCGACCTCTGGGCTCTTTCTAAATCTAAAAATTTTGTTTTTGTGGCACTTTCCCATACCGGTATACAATACGTTATGACGGATCGTGCCAGAGCAATGTATACCTTTCTTAATCTGACCTGACATAACATGACACAGATTTTTGTAAATCCAAATGAGTTTCCTGACTCTAGTTAAAATTATTTCAAAGTGGGATTGCCACCACAATCTGTGGTCCACTGTTACTCCAAGGTATGTTGTGGATTTGACTCGTTGTATGCTCTGACAGTCACAGCTACTAAAAAACGGTTCGCCACACCTATAAATCCTGATCCCAAAGTCATATGGCCCGCCCATTGCTACTTCAGCTTCCTAATCCATTTAATGTTATTTTATAATATTATACCATTATATGTATAATGTAACTTATTCAAAAAAAAAAAACACAAACTTGATAGCAGTCACTGTAGTCATGTTATATAAATAGATTACTTTATATTTATTTTATACTTTAAGAGGTCAGGAGTGAACAATTTTCAGTTAGTGAAACGTATTGCACACCATACCGGGGCATAACAACGTCTGCTGGCCGCTCATGTGATATTCAAAACATTATCTTTATGCATAAAATTATACATAGGAATAATTCTTTAACAATATTCTTGCAAATACCTGGGATAAAACTCGGTTGCTCGTGTACTCTGAAATTAAAGATGAGAGCCCTTCTTCCAATTTAATGAAACACCTGCTTACCTATTGTAACAATGAAAATTTAGGTTCACTGATAGTTCACAATAGAACAAGGAAAATGTAATGATGTAAATAATTACAGAAAGCTTCTGAGACTATTACTATATTGCATACCTTAAGCGCGAAGCGCGCATATATGTTCTGCTAGGGCCTAAAATTAAGATTCCAACATTTTGTCGCATGAAATCGTATCTAGCAATCATATTATTCATATAAATGATATAAAAAGCACATTTTCAGAAAAATAAATGATTTTTGAACTTAATAATATTTTTTTTAATTTGATTAATTACTATTATGACATAAAAAATGGGATTTAGTAGCTTATTGTGTGGATTTATTTATGATTTATCAAGTCCGCATGGCGGCGGACTTTCGAAAATATCAATTGTTCAACTCAATCGATTGCAATCTATATTTAAAACTTTTAATATATCATGTGGGAAGCCATGGAATGTAAATGGCAGTTTAATTTTATTTTGTATAGTTATAATTAATTTTTTTCAGCTAAGAAACGGCGAAAGTTTCGGTAGTTTTAGAGCCTTGTATTAATTTTACTAAACAAATAGCCTTGTATTAATTTTCCTAAATAAATAGCCTTGTATTAATTTTACTCTAAAAATATTTAAATATTGTAATTTATTTTACTAAATAGGGCGCAGCTGCACTCCGAGCTATAGCCACAGAGTACTTTATTTACTCCGGGCCAAAGAGTATAGTAACTGTCCTATACAGCAATGCTCCGGACTCAAATGCCGTCGTGAGTAGTCGTTTGTTACAGCGTTTCGTGAAGAAGAATATCGATCGCCTTAGAAATACAAAATATTCCAAAAACCTTTGATACATACTAGACCAAGGTAAGATATTATTTTTATAATCACAGATTTTTATTACAATATTTTGTTTCGCTAAAAGCACGCAGGATTTATATACAAAGCCCTAGTGTGGGATGCTACTTACGTAGACACACTGGTGGTGACGTCTCAGGGGTACCTCATTTAGAGCAAGGGGCGGCATCAGGGGCAGCTTAACTGAGTAAGTGGCGCAAATATGAGTATCTGAGAGACGACTACATATTGGTGCCATTAGCTGTAGAGTCTATCGGTCCGTGGGGTCCACGTGCGCTGAAGTTCTAAAACAACTCCATCCGCGGCTGGTCGTTGCTGCTAGTGACAAGAGGGCTGGTTCTTTTCTCGCTCAAAGGCTAAGTATAGCCATTCAGTGGGGAAACGCAGCCAGCGTCCTTGGCACGATACCACGAGTAGTAGGACTGTATGATAATTAAGTTACTAGTTATAGTTTTCTTTTTTTAATTATAGTTATATATTGTATACGTTACTGGAACTCCTTGAGCAGGGGAACTAGAATTGCCGAATATGGCCTCGTTTAGTTAGTTATGATTAGACTATACCTTCGGAATTGATAGAGTAACTAGAAAGTGTACTTTGACGACTGCTACTGAAACTCCTCGAGGAGGAGAACTAGATGTGCCGTAATTGAGCTCGTTTTGTTAGTTATGATGAGACCTTGCTTCCGGACTTGATAGAGTAGAACTAAATGTGCCGAGTTTTAGGACTTCGTTTTGTTAGTTGTGATGAGAGCTTACCTCCGGACTTCATAGAGTGACATGAAAGTGTACTTTGATAACTGCTACTGGAACTCATTGACGAGAAAAACTAGATGTGCCGAGTTCGGGCTCGATTTGTTAGTTATGATAAGATATTACCTCCGTACTTGATAAAGTGATTTGAAAGTGTACTTTGATGACTGTTTCTAAAACTCCTCGAGGAGGAAAACTAGATGTGCCGAAATTGAGCTCGTTTTGTTAGTTATGATGAGACCTTGCTTCCGGACTTGATAGAGTAGAACTAAATGTGCCGAGTTTTAGGACTTCGTTTTGTTAGTTATGATGAGAGCTTACGTCCGAACTTCATAGAGTGACACGAAAGTGTACTTTGATAACTGCTACTGAAACTCATTGACGAGAAGAACTAGATGTGCCGAGTTTGGGTTTGATTTGTTAGTTATGATAAGATATTACCTGCAAACTTGATAAAGTGACTTGAAAGTGTACTTTGATGACTGTTTCTAAAACTCCTCGACGGGTAGAACTAGATGTGCAGAGTTTAGGCTCGTTTTGTTAGTTATGAATAGACCTTACCTCCGGACTTGACGGAGTGACTTAAAAGTGTACCTTTATGACTGCTACTGGAAATCATTGACGAATAGAACTACAACTAAACTATCATTTGTCATAGTGAGTCGTACACTTTTGGATTTTCCAAACGTTTTTTTAATTGAAGTTTGACATAGAGATATCAGAAAATTGAAAGTACAGTTATAAGATTATTAGTGAAAACTTGTGTGTATATAAACTACTTAAAAAATTAAGTTTAATCATGTTATACGTAAGTTTTAAAGCGTTTAATGCATGCATAATGGATTTATCAATAGTTTTTTTTTTGATAGGTGTTCATTAAAGCGGTAAAAACTTTCAAATTCAATAAAAATTCGCAGTATGTCATTGTGACTTAAACGCTGTACTCTCTAAGGTAAATTTCAACCCATCTATGGGTCAGGTAGATCAGAAGATCACCAGCTGATCGACCCAACGAAAATCATATAAGCGGTCGCTAATCAGTTGGTGATCCTCAGTTAATTGATGACAAGTCTGGTAGTTTCAATATAGGTAAACATCTGTTTACAAAGTTAAGTAAAAATGTACCAAAGAAGGCATCTTTCTTAAAGCGAGACTTAGATGCAAGAAAACAGTCAAATCTGTATACCCTACGTTTTCGTTTGCCTCACACTGAAAAACTGGATGGTAGCGAAGAGTGTACATTATGGACCCCTTACAATAAAAGATACAATTGGGGCAGATTGTATTTATCACAAAATTTTATATGCTTTGATAGTAGGGTACATCATCTTGTTAGATTGACGATTCCACTTCGTAATGTGCATCAAGTTGAACGCGCGGATTCAGGTGGCGCCGGCAGTTCTGGAGATTCCGGCAGCATACTCATCACCACCGCGCACCACACAAGTTTTCTCTTCGGCAATATATCGGACCGTGACTTCCTCGTTCACAAGATATCCGAACTGCTCGCCAAGTTGCCTAAGGAGAAGGCGAACCGAGCGTTGGATAGAAGAGAGGAGGGAACTGATTGGACGCCCCAGCCGCCACTAATGACACTCTTCAAGACGCATCAGACTGCTACTATAAAACAGATACAGCAGAAAAAGGAAAAACAATGGGAAGATCACATGTCAGAAGTAGGACGCGGAGTCAGCATGTACCAAACCACCGCGGGAAGTGAGCTAGTGTTTAACGGTATACCGGAATCTTTACGGGGCGAGTTGTGGAGTGTGTTTTCGGGTTCAATTCTCCAAAAGGCGCAGAATAAAGGCTTATATACAAAATTGGTTAATGAGGCATTGTCTTCAAGGAATCAGGCTAATGATGAGATCGAAAGAAACCTCCACAGATCGCTGCCTGAACATCCTGCGTTTCAGAACTACGTTGGTATTTCGGCATTAAGACGTGTACTTTGCGCATACGCGCTTAAAAACCCTACGATTGGATATTGTCAGGCGATGAACATTGTCGCCTCGGTCTTGCTAATCTACTGTCCTGAAGAACAAGCCTTTTGGCTGTTGGCAACTATATGTGAAACTCTGTTGCCTGACTATTACAATACAAGGGTTGTGGGTGCTTTGGTGGATCAAGGAGTATTGGACGACTTGACCAAAACACATTTGCCTGAGCTGCATGCGAAGTTGGATGAGCTGGGTATGATGAAAATGATCTCCTTGTCCTGGTTCCTGACGCTGTTCATCAGCGTCATGCCCTACGAGTGCGCGGTTAATGTCATGGACTGCTTCTTTTACGATGGTGCCAAAGTGATCTTCCAGGTGACACTGACAATTCTAGACATAAACCGCGAGAAACTGCTAAAGTGCATTGAAGACGGGCAAGCAATGCAGGTTCTAAGCGAGTACCTTGAAGGCATTTACAACGAGGAGGCTATGGCCCTGTCCACCGAGCCTCGCACCGCTGCAAAGACGATAAAAATCCAAGATTTGGTGTACCAGTCTTATCGATCGTACGGTGCGACCGTGAGTGGAGAATTTATCGAGCATTTGCGGCTGAAGCACCGGCTACGTGTGGTGCGCCAGCTGGAGGACAGCCTGGAGAAGAACACGTTGCGTGCGTTACAGCAGGACAAGCTGTTAGATCCCGCAGAGCTGCAGGAGCTGCTGAGTGTTATTCGGGAAGAATTATTTTGGGCAAAGCGTGTACCATGCGAACGTTTGGAAGCACCTTACGAAGCATACAGACTCGACTACACACAGTTAAAGAACCTGTTTACTGCACTGTCACCCTGGGCAAAAGGCGAAAATGCTGAAGCCATTACTGCTATGATGTTCAAGCTGGTGGACGACGACGAGGACGGGATGGTGAACGCGCGCGGGCTGAGCGTGGCGCTGGGGCTGAGCGCGCGCGGCGAGGCGGCGCGGCGGCTGCGCGCGCTGTACTGCGCGCATGCGCCGCCGATGCTGGCGCCGCACCACCTGCGCGACGCCACCTACACGCACACCGGCGAGGAGCTCGCCGCAGACGCCATCTCCTACTTCGACAGCTTAGAGAATCCGTCCACTCCTGAGCCGAATGTCAATTCAGGCATGCAACGATCCATCAGCGAAATTTGCAGCGATGGCAATTATATGGACAAGTCCACAGACAGTAACTACGGTGAGCCCGAGAGTGAAGCGGCTGCGGTGCGTGCGTGCGCGCTGGCGGGGTTGGCGGGGCCGGCGGGCGCGGGGTCGCCGGGCTCGCCGCGCGCCGCGCCGCCGCTGCCGCGCGCGCACCTGCTGCGCCTGCTGGCCACGCTGCACGGCCTCACCGAGCACAGCGGCCCGCTGTACGAGGCCGTGGCGCGCGCCGGTACATTGCTGCTTCAATTGGGCGAATTAACACATCGGCCGGAGCTAGGTCGCGAGATATCCCAAGACAGCCTTTTCTTAGCTGCTGCTGCTGCCAAACAACCCATTGTTGCTCAGCTGGATCCAAATGGCAACAAAACGGCTGACCTAGAAGGATCGTCGTCTCAGCTGTCACCGTCAAAGGAAAACGACCCGTCCTCCGACAGCGTGTGGTTCATAACGCTTGAACAGTTCTTAGCCACAATACTTTCAGAGCCTGCTCTGGAGGAGTTATTCAATAGGCAGGAGCCGTTACTGCCTCAGCTTGAAGCTCTTAGGCAAAGGGATCGATCACAGTCTTTATTATAGCTTATAGATATATCATGACTTTCTTCTATAAAGCTGTTTTTTTTTAAATGATTTTTAGAAATTGCTCGCATTTTATATGCGCATTTAACGAAATTTTCTTTTGAAAAAGCATTAAACAATTTTCGCATTTTTTCTGTATATTTGTAAAGAATATAGAAATTAAGTGCATACGATCGTTAAGCGATGTCATCGAAAAGAGCACCTTGCACATTTATACTTGTTTTTTTATTTAAACATATTTAACAACGAATTATTTATTTTTAAGTATCTATGTCTGTTTAACCTACTTAATACAGATATTTATTTTTTTTTTTTTTTTTTTTTTATAGGAGAGGGGGCAAACGAGCATGCGGCTCACCTGATGGTAAGTGACTACCGCCGCCCATGAACAACCGCAACACCAGGGGAATTGCAGATGCGTTGCCGGCCTTTTAAAAAGGAGTAGGCTCTTTTCTTGAAGGTCCCTAAGTCGTATCGGTCCGGAAAAATCCCTGGTGGTAAACTATTCCACAAGGAAGTTGTGCGAGGAAGAAAACATCTTCTAAATCGCACAGTGGTGGACCGCCAATCATCCAGATGGTGTGGATGGTATCGGGAGTTCTGCCGCGATGTGCGTTCGTGAAATTTGGCGGCTGGGATTAATCCGAACAATTCCTCAGAGCACTCCCCATGGTAGATGCGAAAGAAAATGCAAAGAGATGCAACATCTCTTCGCAGTGCCAATGAATCGAGCCGATCGGAAAGGGCTCGGTCGTCGACGATTCGAGCCGCTCTGCGCTGGATGCGGTCAAGTGGAAGGAGCTGGCACTGGGGAGCCCCTGCCCAGAGATGGGAACAGTATTCCATGTGAGGCCGAACCTGCGCCTTGTAAAGTTGCAGGCGGTGTGCCGGCATGAAATACTGTCCCGCTCTGCTGAGCACGCCAAGCTTTTTAGAGGCCAATTTGGCCTTCTCTTCCAAGTGACCACGAAACTGCACGTCACTCGATATGTCGACTCCGAGGATACCGATACTGGCTGAGGCAAGAAGGGGAGTGCCTTGAAACTGAGGAGATACGACAAAGGGGTTCTTTTTAGCGGTAAACGCGCAAACTTGTGTCTTCTGAGGATTAAACTGGACTAGATTTAGTCGCCCCCAATCCGAGACTTTGTCCAGCAAAGACTCGACTTCAGACACAAGTTTGTTCCGGTACTCGGCGACGTTTTCCCGAGAAATATTGGCCCGGCCGGTGTATAGAGCATCACCAGTGCTGTCATCCGCATAGCAATGAATGTTACCAGTTAGCAACATATCATTGATATGCAGAAGAAACAGCGTTGGTGATAGCACACAGCCTTGTGGAACACCAGCGTTAATAGGCTTGTAGTCAGAACATGCACCGTCTACAACGACCTTGATGCTCCGATCTGCAAGAAAGCTGGTGATCCAATTGCACAATTTCTCGGGAAGCCCATAGGAAGGCAGCTTCGAAAGAAGCGCTTTGTGCCAAACCCGATCAAAGGCCTTCGCAATGTCCAGACTAACGGCCAACGCCTCCCCCTTGGACTCTACTGCCTTCGCCCATCTATGGGTCAGGTAGACCAGAAGATCACCAGCTGATCGACCCCGACGAAAACCGTATTGGCGGTCACTAATCAGCTGGTGATCCTCAAGGTACCGGATGAGCTGGCAGTTAATAATGGATTCCATTATTTTGGAGAACAAGGAGGTGATCGCGATAGGCCTATAGTTGGACGGGTCTGAGCGGTCGCCTTTTTTAGGGATCGGGTGGACAAAAGCTGTCTTCCATGAATTCGGGACTACGCCTTGGGAGTAGGAGTACCGGAAAAGACGCGTTAGGACCGGTGCCAACTCCGGAGCACACGTCCTCAGCACAATTGGGGGGATTCCGTCAGGCCCACTCGACTTCTGGATGTCCAGGGAGAGAAGTGCTTTGCGAACTGAGCGCTGTGAGAATAGCACATCCGGCATGGAGCACTCACACCGCGGGATGGTCGGCGGTATTTTCCCCCCGTCATCAAGAGTCGAGTTGGACGCAAAAAGGGAGCCTAAAAGGTCGGCTTTGTCTTTTGCGTCTTGGGCCAGTGAGTCGTCCTCCCTGTGCAGAGATGGTAGTGATGGCTTACAGAAATTCCCTTGGACAGCCTTGGCGAGAGACCAGAATGCACGGGTTCCCGAAGGAAGGCGAACTAGTTTCTCGCCAATTCTGCCTATGTGCTCTGACTTTGCCTTGGCAATAACTCTTTTGAAGGACCTGGAGGCGAAGTTATACTTCTTTTTAAGTGTGCTGGTGTTTACATCCCGAGTCACCGAAGCCGCAGCCCAGGCTTGATAACACTCCTGCTTACTGCGCAATGCAGTCTTACAGGAGCGACCAAACCAAGGCTGAGATCTGCCTCCGATGGGTACCACAGATGATGGAATAAATAGTTCCATTCCCTGTAGCACCACATCAGTGACAGAGTCAGCAACAGCACTGGGATCATCCGGCGAGAAGCAAACCCGCCCCCATGGGTAGGATGCAAAGAAAGACCGCATTCCGTCCCAATCCGCCGACCTGTAATGCCAAACACGGCGGCAACCTGCAGAACGCAACCGCGAAGGGAGCGTGAGTGGCACCATACTCCGGATCAGACAATGGTCCGAAGAGCCGAGAGGGGCATCGACGGAAACCTGATATCCGTCCGGATGAGAGGTCAGCAGAAGGTCCAACAGGGAAGGTGTATGATCCTCCACATCTGGAATCCGCGTAGGCGAAGTAACCAGTTGTGTCAGACCATATGCCAAGGCAAAGTCATAAACAGATCTCCCCGCATGATCGGTTAAACGTGAACCGAGCCATTCGGCATGGTGGGCGTTAAAATCGCCAAGGATCACGATCTCTGCGGATGGGACCTGTTGTAGCATGGAATCTGTAGCCATTTGGACGTGGTCGATGAGTCGGTCTGTTTCGGCATTACCGCTATGGGACCTATAGAGGCACCCGTAGACGCGCGGATGGTCGTCGCTGTCTACGCGTAGCCAAAGGATGGACAGGTCCGAACCTTCAAGACTGCCGAGGCGTCGAGAACAGATGTCCTCTCTAACATACACGCAAACTCCAGCCCGAGGCACAAAGGAGTGCTCCAATTTGTACCCCGGGTAGGAGAGATACGAAATATCAGTCGGAGAGGAAACCTGCGTCTCGGTCAAAAAGAGCAAGGCCGGCTTCGCCGTCTCGAGATGGTAGTGGACGGCGTTTAGGTTAGAGTGAAGTCCCCTGATGTTGCAGAAATTCACGGATAGCGTGGCAGGGGTCGCCTTGGTATTGTTGCTCAGCTTGCCCCGAGCAGTTTTGTTTTTGAGCGGAATTTTGCCCCCCCCAGAATACGCGGGGCAGCCTGAGCACCCACGCTCAGGATTGGAATAACATGGTCGTGGATGCTCAGCGAGGGATTCTCCAGGGGTACTGGTACCCTCCTGGGGTAGTCTATTGTCTAATTCCGCTACCATGTTGATGGGGGGGGGGGGGGGAATTGGGCCTCCGGCCACCTGCACTCACCAGACGAAACGCAGAAGCAGAGCCTCTACTTCACGCCGGTATTCTGTGAGGTCGTGGTACCAACCCGGCTCGAGCCGGCCCATACGTGCAACAGCAAAAAACTGCTGCAGGGCTCTACCACCGTTAAAATTGATTTAGATCACTTCGAAATATTTCAACATTAATTGTATATTACAGTTAAGTTTTTTGACAGTGTTACTCTTCGTTAGCTTTGATAACGAAACAATATTGCAAGATAAAATTTAAAGAAGCCGCATTATAACCCTATTTTTTTTTCTATGTAACCATTTTTAAATCTTTGACAACCTCAAAGGATACCGCTATTTACAACACAGTTTTTTGGCGAGTAATTTTGAATGGAACAAATTGTTTTAGTTTTCTATATTATGTTGCTTTTGTGGTTTTGTTTATTTTAGAAATTCAAAATGGCGTTGACCAATATCTTCCAAGTATTCTGACAAATAGTTGTTTTTCATACCTGTATGTAATATTAATTCATTTCTGTATCATGTTCTACCTAAGTATAATTCTTTGTTATCTTCCAACAAATTTAACTAAGTATTTGGAAGGTCAATATAATTCCATTGCCTATTCTCAAATACCCTCAAGGTACCGCATGAGCTGGCAGTTAATAATGGATTCGATTATTTTGGAGAACAAGGGAGTGATGGCGATAATAATAATAATAATAATAATAATAAGGCGTAGGGAAGTGACGACCCCATCGCCCGCTGACGTAACAGTTAAGTGACAAAACTGCTATGTCAGCGCAGTCAGTCAGCGCCTTGCCAAGAGGTGTGAGCGCCGTGCCTCGGCAGTATTGAGGGTGCAAAGGCCCGTTTGTGCTTACGGCCACACTATTAAACGGCGCCGGGTCTGGGCGTCTCCCGTTAACTGACGCCCAAATTAATGGATGATGGATGAAAATAAAACGCGCATAGGGCCGCTGCCTGGGGGTCGCCGGGGCGCGTCTGGAGCTGGCGCTGGACGTGACAGCATGCGAGCCGCCAGCCGAGCGCGAGGTGCTGCACGACCACCTAGCAGCCCCTCGCGTCCATCATCCCCACCAGACGGCTTGGTGTCGGCGGGGTCCTCTCGGACTCGGCAAGCGGCACCCGCCGCTGGTGGAGTACGCCGCATGCGTTGGACAAAAAATATGAACATTAACGCATTGCGGGCGTACTATAGGGCGAAGGGGGAAGAAACTGGAGGGATAGCGTATCGGGCTCGGATGCATCGCTTTTTTGCTGAGCTTGAGCCGTCAGTTCCCGTCACGGAGCAAAACCTGGCAGACCGAGTTGGGTACATCATACGCTCGAAAATATTTGATGATGCTGAACTCGAACGACTACGGCGTGAGGCTATTCCCTCATCGAATGAACCGGCTATAGCTGGGGATGCGGCTCCTCAGGCCACAGACCAGCAGCCACATATAGAGGGCGCCATGAATCTCCCCGCT